AAACCACCCCAAGTTATAAAATGATTGCCCCACAGGCAATGAGGGAAAGGGAGCAGAGGAGAGTTATCATACGTCTGGACCGCCATATTTCATTATATATCTACATGTCCCAGCACAGGGCTGGGGTCTATAAGAAATAATACATAGAATGTAACAAATATTTATACACACTGAAAAATATGTGGTATACACCTAGACCTACATCCCAAAAAGAAATCAGACATCTATTCTATCATTGCCCACCAGGCAATTAGGAATGGGGAGCATAGGAGATTTTTCATAGAGTCAATCTCAATGTTCATTAACTACCTAAATAGTCATGCAAGGAACCAAATTCAAAATGAGTTAACACCTGCCCCAAAGAGCAAATACATTTACAAACACACATTTCAGTTAATATATACATATGTAATGAAATATAAATATTTTCTAACAAGGCTATTCCCCATCAAAGACCACAAAAGCTAAAACCAAAAATCAAGCCTTGCAGGAATCATGCACTATTCCCCCATGTACCCAAGGTAGAAGAGAAGGGAAAAAGCTGGACCCGACCTCCAGTTCCAGCCTCTCATTACATTTACCACCTACAAGGTCAAACAAAAAAATGGTTGTGCATGGAAGAATGAAAAAGTAAAACATTTTTATATACATTTAAATCACAAACCTCAAGTCCCCCACCCTCATCCTTGCCAAGAAACCCAAACAACAACTCTACTAGCCATTGCCCAGGCAGGCAACAAGGGAAGGGAAGAGTGGGATTTTTTTCATAGAATAAACCTTAATTTTCATTATGTACTAAGTGCCAGAAAGGACTAAGCACAAAATGAAGTACCAGAAAAGTGAAGCAAGAGCATTTACATACAGATATAAAAGTGCACACCCCATTCTGGGAGAGTGGAGTTAAAAAAATCTATGTTACACTACAACTATTGCCTATAGAGGAAATAAGGACAGGGGAATAGAGGAGACTGTCATACATCTGGACCTCCATGTTTCATTAGGTAACTCTATATCCAAGAAAAGACTTGGTACAAAATGAAACAATGAATAACACACATGCACGAGCGCGCGCGCACACACACACATACACACAAGCTATACATATTAAAAAATACACATATCCTGTTATTAGCCCCCAAAACTTAAAAAAATTATTGCTCACAATGATCAAAAGGAAAAAAAGAAGAGACTGTTGTACATCTAGAACTCCACAGTCATTGGGAAATCACATGTCCAATAAAGGACCGAGACCCAATGGAATACTCTAATAAAAGCAAACCACATACATACATTTAAAAGAGTATATACCCAACACCTACAGAAGCCCTGCAACTATCAACTACTCTACTAGACACTGCCCACACAGGCAGTATGGGGAAGAGGAGGAGAGGAGACTTGTCATAGAATGATCCTCAATTTTCTTCATCTATCCATGTACAGGACAGATATGAAGTAAAAAAATACTATAAAACATTTATATACATTTACAAGTATATATTCTTACTCTGCAACCACTTTTACTATACTGGCAAAAAACCTTGAGCTACTCTAGAAGCTATTGCCCAAACAGGCAATCAGGGAAAGGGAAAAGTGGAGACTGTTATACAACTGGAACTCTGTGGTTCATAGGTACCCTGCAGTCTGGGTACCTAAAGAATTAACACAATACTGTATTAAGAACATATATTTACATATATACAAACATAAATACACTTTCTTGCTTCCCCCATATCCTCCACCCAAAAGTCCTGCCCTTAAGACTGCTTATCTCCTGGCCAAAAGGCATCAGCGGTGGGGAGGAGGCAGCAACAGTCACACATCTAGACCTCCACACTGCACCAGGAACTTTCACAGCCATGAGAGGGACATAGTACAAAATGAATCAGAAGGAGTGCAGTAGCAAGTGTATTTATATGTACTGAGCACCTCCCCATTCTGCCCCACATTGAAAACAAAACTAATCTATGAGCTACTGCCTAAAGAGGCAATAAAGGAAGAGATGTGCCATACAGTGAACCCCAATTTTCATAAGTATATAAGCATCTGTACAAAGAAACAAAAATAAAATGAATTATTAAGAAGCAGCAAGGGGCCAGGGAGATAGCTCAGCAGCATAAGCACTGGCCTAGCAAGTGCAAGGTCCTGAGTTCGATCCTCTACACGCCCCCTCAAAAAAAGTGGCAGAACATTTACAAACATTTGAAAGAAATGACAGACAAGATAATTCCGCAGGCTATATCAGAACAACAGCCATTGTGCTCACTTCTCTAGTTCTTGTCATGCAGGCAGTGAGAAGACTGGTAATGTGAGGCCACACTTGTGGACTGCCATGGCCTATATACATGCCCACAGGGGGGATGAAGGAAGTCCAAAGTAGAACAGTACTCACAGAGTAGCAGCAAAATCATTTACACACACTTTTAAAAGCACCTGTCTCCCAAACACAACTGCCTCCTTTCAAAAAAATGAAAACAATACTATAACTATTTTGTAGCTATTGCCTGGAACAGGTGATACAGAAAGGGGAGAGATTTTCACTTTGCAGTACTTCACTTTTTATTAGGGCACAATGTAAGTATTATAGAAACATCTAAAACCATATATGTACACTTTTTAAAAATTCCTCCCAAGAAATACTAAAAAAAAAAAAAAAATCACTCAACTCTTCTCACTGTTATTGCCCATGAGAGCCACGAGGGAATGAGCAGAGGAGATGTATCCTACCATGGGACCTCCACTCAGCACTGGCCACTGCAGTGAGTGGAGCACAGAACCAAACAGTGCAAAACCCTGCTAAAATGTCTACCTTAGTTTAAAAATATACAAATGGGAGGAGAAGCTTTTCAAAAAGGGAGTCAAGGCCAATAAAACCTTAAGTAGTGAAGGCAATGGTGAGGACAGGGGCATCATACCTACAACCCTAGCTCTTACACAGACCTATGCGATCACACCCAGCTCTAGTTTCACAATTCAGCCCAGGAACTGCTGTACTCACTGACAACACATCTGAGATGCATTATACCTTTCCTGCAGCTCCATGACACACATCACATTTATGTAAGCATTTAGAATCCTGACTGCAGACTATGGTTCCAGATGCTATAAGCTAAATACATTCTTACAGTAATAGGTTATCAGTAATGTAACAAACTGAGCCCTTAATTTTAATTTACTTCCCAATAAATATTCAGAAAAGATTCTATGTGGTACCCAATCACACTGAAGCAGCTTCATTTGTCCCCTATAGCCAGGACTCTTCTGATAGCTCCTTTGTCTTTACAGTAGCTAAAGCTCCATAAAACGAAAACAGGTATGTCAAAGAAAAAATAGAACCTCTGATAAAAAGTTTGCATGCTAAAACAATGGTGGCACAATTTCATTTGAAAAGACTAAAATAAATCAAGATAAAGGCACAAGCTTATAGCAGAAGCTGCTACTACTTACAGATAATTGTTTTCATTTTAACAGAAAAAACTAGACTCCTCCAATTTCTATTTTCATAACCTTTCAAATCTCTTCCATAACATTAGATTTTCAATTCAATCTTTCCTAGTCATCTCTGATGTACTTTTTATATTATATTCATGTAGTGGATCATTTCTCTGCACTGAACAGAAAGTTGTTCAAGTACTACATTCAAGTACTCAATTGTAGCAGGAAGCTGTGTGCTTATATAAAAAGCAGACTGTGACTTCTGTGCTTCAATCTGAGTTCCCACAAATATATGCATGAGAAAGTTATTGGGAAAAAGTATGAAAACTACCAATATAGTTATAAGTTCTTCCTTTCATCTAACCTTATATTGCTAACATAAGAATTAATTTTAAGAGGTCCCATATCAATGAGTCAGTGTAACATTAAACACAGAACTGTGTGGCTAAAGTTGAAGTGAGGCCTACTAAAATACAAATAATTGAAGGGAAATGTACAAATAAAACTGCAATTACCTATCCAATATCATAGGAATGAACGGCCTTTGAGTATCAAGACAGTAATGGATTATGAGTTACTTTTAGCCCATGATTTGATAGTTTTATTTATAATACCCCATATCCCTCACACTTACACACACACACACACACACACACACACACACACACACATTCACACACGAATGAGAGAGAAAATTATATAATTTAAGATAAGATTTGCCATATGTAGGGTTACTATATTTTAAATGTAATGTAAAGACGGGCAGGTAAAATGAAGGACCTTAACTAATTTTGAGAAGTAGCAAAATTTAAATTCTGCATTAAAGTACAAATTAGTAATGCAACATGGTAAAAAAAAAAAAAAGCAACAACAACAAAAAGTCTCACTGAGGTTTTAACCAAAGAAATTTAGTATTTCTCCATTAGAAAATACAAAAACCACACTAGCTTTCAATATCTACTTAATTATTCATTTAACAAAGCATGAGAGGACTAAAGATCTACTATCATCTCAGTTTCAATGTCAGCAGATGATTCTATGATTCTCAGAATATATTTTCTACTCAAAAACTAAGGACAAATGTTTAGAAAAGACTAAGCTGGGGAAAATACACAAGGTGATAATGCAGGCTCTCTTTTAGTTTGACAGCCTTTTATATTTAGTTATATAAAAATATTTTCATGAAATAAAATAGAATTTTATACATAACCCCACACATTCTAACTTTATATCTGCTGAATAAAAAAGGTGATCTTTTCCATTGTCTGACTCTGGAGTGCTTTAAGTGCTCATAAATAACTCCAATTTCATGTACCTAGACACTGTTTTAAACAAAATATAAAGTTCTCAAGAGTTACTACGAAGAAAACTTCTAAGAAATGAAGAAACACAATCTAGATATAGGTCTGCATAGCTCAAAAGATTCAAGTACAGTATTTTTCCTTCAGAAGGAACAAAAATGCCATATGATTTTGGATATCTTCTTTGACTTTTCCTCCTTCTTTTCTTTTTTTGGCCACTCCATGTAATACTAGTTTGGCCACAATAAAAGAATGACTATGACTTCATTTTTAACCAAAGAAAACTACATTTTTAATAGTGGAAAGAACTCAGAGCCTACCATATTAAAGTTTGTAAATTCAACTTACTCTTATCCCACATTCTCCTGCGTTCCTTTAAGGTACTATGGTGAACTTCAAATAAAAATTTATAACCTCTCGAAGGCCTTATTTAAAATATGCTTCTAATATGTCACTGTATCATATAAAATAAAAAACTACAGAAGGCTATGATTGGGAGAAAAGGTGCTTACAATCTATGAAGACAAAAGGCTATAACAAAAAAAAAAAAAAATTACCAGTGCTTACAGAATGTTTACCACAAATACAGAAATACTTACATATAACATAAAGTCACCTAGAGCAGGAGTGCTGACTGTGTTCAGACCTGGGGGATACTGGCATTTTTGAGGAAAAAAATAATTACAATGAACTCAGTTTGGAATATTCTCCTGTGGTAAAACTATACAATATAAAGTATTAAGTGTTAAATATTTGCACAATTTAACATTTTTGACCTGCTTATTTAGCTATTCAATACAACAAAAAAATTTAAAAATTCTGTAGCACCTGTCTATTCTGCAGGAAAGAAAAATAATTGAAATAGGTATTATTTAAACTTTTCTCAGAAGAAAAAGGATTGCTCAAAATCCCAAATGCAAGTAGATCTGCACACCTGAGATCAGTTTTCTACAGTTGGAACTTTCAACATCTTCTTTCTGGTACTTATTCAGGCTAAATTTGTACCACATTCCAATAGTATCTACCAATAAGCAAAGGCAGCTAATAAACCAGCAGCTTACAAAGATGGCAGCTGTTGTGGTAGACCTTTACTTGTTTCACTGTATGGGTAATTTTTCCAGGTCCTGAGAAATAGAAAAGTTCCCAAACCAGTGTCCCCATTAGTATTTCCTAGAAAAAATATTCACTGATTTTGTAGATGACTGGCATATAGGTGAATATAATGTAATAAATACACACTGCTTAAAGACATTTCAGTAAAGACAGATGAAAAACACAGTCGGGCCCTGAGCTAACTAGAACTTCTATGAGTGCAAACAACTTGGCAGCCATCCTAGATTCACCTCAGTTTTTGCAAAAGTAGCAGAGCCCAAGTTCACAAGCTCTCTGAATGGGTGACAAGATGAAGTGCAATTTGCACGCTACAGCCACTGGGCCAGGGTTTTCAGGTTCTGCTCCATCCATTGGATATTCAACTGGATGACTTCCAAAGCCTCCTGGACACACCGAAGTCGAAAGGTTGCCTCCGACTGACTTTCAAAAAATGCCTGGACCTGCAAGTTCCACATACAAACATTTTCAAAGAAGAAAGGAACAGTAAACTTCTGGTAACTCAACTGTTCATCCTTTTAAATAAGCTTTAATTTATGCGGGCTATGCTGACATCTGAAAGCAGTAAGAAGTACTTTAACACTCAGAATCTATGTGGACTGCTCAGTCAAGCATGGTGACACCTCAAGTGATTTTAAAAGTACATTTTCCTTACCCTCCCACAAAGAACTTTTCTAACTTAAAAATATAATGTTCAAGAAATAATAAATAGGTATAGTCTGAATAGGGCTGGTGCTACAAATTTACTGTTTGAATTTTATCATTACTTAGATTACTAGTGTCTGGGAGACAAGGAAATAGTGCTGTGAGTGCAATAAGAATTTTTCTTCCTGGCCACATATCCAACTTTCTGAAAGTAATCTCAATACTGAATCATTAATACTGATGAGGGCAGACAGACAAGAGACAGGAATCATTCTGAGAATCCACCATCTCACTTAAACTGAGAAGCTTGAGGGTAAAGAGTTTAGTCTGCCTACAAGCATTTTATATTACCAACCTCAGAAAAATGTGCCTTCGTTGAAAACAGGTGAGTTGATCCAGCAACAATATTCTGTATGGTATAGGACCCCAGATGGAACCTGAAAAAACACAATATAAGAAAGAAAAGATGAGGCAGCTGTCAGTCAACAAAGAACCGTTTCTGAACGCAAAACAAATGTTTTAATGCGGAAGGTAGGGTGGAGTGCTACGCCTGGCAACTACAGCCTAGGCAGTCAGCGCTGTTCAAATACATACATCACACCAGTGATGCTGTAAGAGCTCTCAATGCTAACAGACTGTATGCCATAGGTTGGCCACCACTGCATTACACTTACTAATACTGGGCAGCAAAGATGGGCAGACAAGGGGGATGCTTGGGATAGTCAGATAAATTTTTAATGCATTTGATTTTTTTCAAAGACTACCTAGCTCTAATGATGTGAGGTGTGAGTTCTAAATGATGCCTTGGCAATGAAGAACTGTTTCAACATGAATAAACTAAGTGGCTGTTCTGAAAGTCTGTGGCCATGTGGTACCGAGTGGTCTGGGTTTGTTCTTGGCTGTCCTTGATTAGTACCTGAATAGAACATCATTGTTCAGTGACCTATATTTTGGAATTGTATTTATACATGTGAAACATTTAAGGTAATTTCAGTTACGTTGAAAAAGCATGTGAATTTTTTCATATGTAGAGTACCAGAACACAGCTACACATTGCTTTTCCAAAAGAAGAACACTGAAGGTCGTTCTCTGAGAAACTTACTTTTGTACCAGCTTATCCCAGTTTTCTTTGACAAAATCCCACGCCAACAGGTGTCCAGGGTAACTTCGCCCCACTGTCCGAATGACAGACGACAACTTCTGCGTTCGGAATATATCGCCTTCTAGGCTCTTTTTCATTAACCTGAAAATCAAAACAGATGTAGTTTCCAAAACAATCCTTCCTGAGGAAGCAATGACTGAAATGAGTGCTGTGTTTTTAACTGAAGCTGTATGGCAATTCTAGGGAAGTGTTAGCTTAGCTTAACAGTCATCTATTGGTTGAAAACATCAATTTTTTTTTTTTTTTAATGAGGGAAGAACTCAACAAGATGGGCAGTTACACAGTCACATAATAATAGCATCCAATACAGTAAAGATATTTAGGAAAAAAAATTCTGGTAGAATTTATTACAACTGTGGAGATTTGTGGGGTTTTTCCTGATAGAACCATATCTGACTTGAATAGGTAGACACACAACTACTCTTAAAGGACTGGGGTGTTTAAATGGTTTGACAGTGAAGATACATTTCACAATAGACTCCTACTAATAGTATTTATTGATATTATGTACAAATAATGCTGTTAAGTTCTAGAAACAACAGGCTATAAAGTAAAAATATATTACATATCCCCATTTTATAGTTGAAGAAACTTAGGGCTGTGTAATTACCCTGGGGCTCGCGGCCCACAACACTGAGGTCTAGCATTTGAATGTGTGCAGCTGTTATGCAGCTGCTATGCTATACTGACCACTCATATTGGAGAAAACGCACATCACAAAAAGAAACAGTATTTTTAGTAAAGAAAAAAAGTTGAAATGCCCAAGAAGATGTGATGAATGAACTAGGTTATACCAGAGCCATACTTTGAAATACTATGCAGACATAAAGACAAATGAAGCAGTCTTTAGGAAGTGACGTGACAAACCTCAAAGACTGATCATTCATTACAAATAGTGTTGTAAAACACTGAGTATAAGACAGATCTATGCCCACATGCATGTGTGTATATCAGACCAAACTTCTTCACTCAAAAATGTTTGTGTCCATTTGCTTAGGTCAGAGGCTGGCCACTGCTTTAAAGAACATGCCTATTTAAAGTGCATCTTTGACAAAGTGGGTCTGGGAAGGTGCTGAGAACATCTGTGGACACTATTAGGATTGATCTGAGCAAAATTACATAGGAGAAGCAATGGGCTCCAGCTGCCTCTGCCTATTCTTGGAGTGAATTTCAACTGCAGGGCCCTAAGCTCCAGACCCCTTCCTGGACCTCTTGGCTACCTAGCATCCTTTCCCTGCCACTGCCTGGTGAGCTCCTCATTACTGCCCTCTTTCACCCATATGAAAAGTATTTCCAAGCTGTCATCAGCTGGACATGGACATGAAAAAGTATGACAAATAAATTCACATGAAGGTAGAACATACAATCTTTTTCATATTAATCTTTTCAAAGTGACAACCAGAACAGAGCAACACTTTGGTCCAAAGAATGAAGTACTAACTGTGGTGTTAAAGACAACATGCCAAGAAGAAGACATTTTTGAGCAGGAGTAAGGGGATGCTGTGATTCCAAAGCAGATTTTCCCCATGCACAGGCTCCTTAACACACAGTCAGGTCTAGCTACAATAAAACAGGAGGAAAAAGGAGATCTCAAACAAAAAGTGCTCCCATCTTAGGAGCTTTTATCTTCTGGTTTTAGACAGTGTAGTTTTCTGTGGTTGCATACCAGTAAAGTCTCCGTGTATCTGCTGAACTGCCAAGAGCTTCAAGTATTTTGTTTTTCTCGGCTTCAGAGTCTATAGAAACATACTTGCTTAAGAGGAATGACCAGCCTGTGTCAGTTTTTGCTCCAACTTTGAACACAGCTGTCATAACATCAGTAGGGAGGCTGGAAGAGAGAGGTAAAACATGAATATAAGAAAAATTCTGAATAAAGGCAAGGAACTGACTGGTAGTAGTATTTTGGGATTCAAAGTACGTGATAATTGTAAAAGTCTTAATTATGCAAGAGCCAAAAAAGTTAATTCAGTGACTCTCTTCTCTCATTATGCACTGGTCCGTCAGAAGGATCCAGGCAGGCAGGGGTAAGAGCATGGTGGTACGTGCTTGTACCTTGGCACTGGAGCGCCAGGAAGACTCTGAGTCTGAGGCCAACCTGTAGCTACACAGTAAGCCAGTGTAAGTCACACGGTGAGATCCTGCCTAAACATATGACAAACAAAACAAATAAAACAAAGATGGGTAGGCAAGGAAAAAGACAGTGACCTCTGGAAACTCATGGGTTATTGCCAAATATAGGGCAAGGAACAAATATTCAGAGTACAATATGAGGTGCTAAGTTCCATGACATGAGGGCAGCAGGAAATGTGTAGGGCATGAGGTGGCACAGTCTGCCGTCTTCAGTAAGATTTTAGGGCTATGAATTCTTCAAATTCCCCAACCCAACTTTCCATGTGATATCTGAATCCAGTTCATAATGTACAGAGTTTGCCAAAAAAAATGTACATACACCTCAGCAGTTTGCTGTCTAATAAAATTCTGGAAGCTCAAGGCCATCACTCTGAGCACTTCTTGCAACTGTAGAGGCCAAAGGTGACTGGTATTAATTCATAATGTCTCAATACGATTAGTATTAAAATAATTATACAAGTTTTTCTTTTCATGATGTACACATATTTTAGTTGTACCTCTTTCCTCTCTCTATATACACACATGCATATATATTCAGCATACGTGAGTTCACAGAACAGAAATAGATGATTCTTACTAGGACCTAAGGGGAAGAGGGACTGGGAAGTTGTTTAGTGGGTACAGAACTTCAGTTTTATGCGAGAAAAAAACATTCCGGACATTGGTGCACTCAACATGATACACTTATGGTTAAGATGTTAAATTTTATGTGTATTTGAACACAAGTTTTTTTTCTTTTTCTACGTCTTGTTTGGTAACAGAAACACGTAGAGTAGATCTATATCAACATTTAGTTTTGTAAGTTATGTTCCAGGAAGGAACTGATTTGAGCAGATGCATAATTCACCTCTGAGTTCCATTTGATGCCATCCATTCTTCAAACAGCTTCATGGCAGTAGTGCTGCAGTTGCCCAGGTTGTGGGTGCAAGCAAATTCCAGCAAGACTGTGCGAAGCTCTCGAGTGGATGGGGTGCCCTCATCAGTCCAAGTTTGTTGTTGGATCTGGTTTTGAAGCAAGGTATGAACCCTGGCCTACATAGACAAAATGAATTATAATCCACTAATAGTAATTTGGACGTTGGAAAAGTGAGGACAACTATATTTTTCCCCTTGAGGAAAAAGAGGCATAAATCTTAATTCTTTAAATATCAACTGATACATGAAACCCACGTACAGCTGGAATAAGACCATTCAACAGAAAAAGCCAATACAGAAGGTAAGTTACAGCCAAAGAAGACTTTCAAAGGTATGATGCAAAAAGCATGAATAATGCCTGCGCAGCAAAAAAATGTTATGCTGTGTATACTAAGTTACAAGTCATCTTCCTGTCAAAAATATTACCTATAACCACTGCTGGAAGGAAGTTGAATTTTCTGATATTATAATTTAGAATTGATAAAACCATTAAACAAAATATTTTAAAAATTAATTAATTTGTTACAGGAATAACATGTAACTGCAAAGAGTGTACTTGTACTAAGGAATAAAAACCAATGTCTGCATTTCTCTCCTTTGTCAAGGCCTAAAATAAATCTTATTGGGAATGTTTTAAACTGTCGAAGCCATGATATCAGCAGACTTTCTGTAACTTCTGAGTAAGTCTCCTGATACATTGGAGAATGGACAAAGAGAAGTGGTGCAAGGACTCACAATAGGTGGCAACATATCACCCTGCCTCTGCTACTTTCTAAAGCCACACAACAGAAAGCAGACAACTTGTGGACTGCGTGAGTGGCAACGCTGCGCGTCACTGAGAGTACCTGCCATGCCGACTGGCGGTGCAGGGAACCTAAAACTGTGTGGGAGATCCCGCTGCAGACGCCTGGCTGCGAGTGTGCACGGCCTGCAACCGCCCTGACCTCTAAGGGGCAAGTAATGCCAGCTGTGCCTAACGGAAAATAAGTAAGTAAATAAATAGAACATCAAAGCTACTCACAACTGTCAAATAGAAATAGATATAATGTGAGCACGGAAAAGTTATACATTTAAAATTATTTCTTTTTGAGGAGCCGGGGAGATGGCTCAGTGGAATAAGCACTTCCCTGGCAAGTGCAACGGCCTGAGTTCAATCCCTGGTTCCGCCAAAAACAAACAAACAAACAAAAAAAACCCAAAACAAAACAAAACAAAAAAACCCCACCTCATTGGTCCTACAGTTAAAGAGGATGGTAGTTCTGTTTGCCTTTAAAATTATTTCTTTTTTTTTTTTTTTTGGAGGAACCAGGAATTGAACTCAGACCCTTGTGCTTGCCAGGGAAGCGCTTACTCTACTGAGCCATCTCCCCGGCCCCTTAAAATTATTTCTAAAACCTCATTGGAGAACATGCTCAGGCTTACTGAAAGTTATAAAACATGAAGGAGTTAGGTGGGAAAAATAGTCCTTTAATGCACCATAAACAAAACCTGATGCTTGAAGATGCTATGGCTAATGCCTTACATACACCACTACTCTGGTGGAACTTAGGGTGAAATTCTGCTAGTGTCTACATCAGATCATGGAAAGGAATGCTCCAAACGGTTGGTTCTAAATATATTTCAAATTTTAATAAAAATTTTATTGAAAAAAGTAAATAATTCTATTTTTAGAAAAATCCTGCTGTTACAAAATGATTATTTTAATATGTAATTTAAAGTTATATTTTTAACATTAATTAATATTAATGAAGAATGGCAAGTGGTTCTAAAAATTATATTTTCCTTTCAGAAATAAAATGAAAAATTTGAGGAGTGTATTTGAGACTCAGATCTACACAGAGTTAACAGAGAACTGGGGGGAGGGAGAAGAATGGCTTCTGGCCTCATGAAACTAAACTAGCTGCCGGACTTGTGAGTAGGCAGACACTGTGCCTTCACTTTGGCTTATTCGGAAACAAAACTACCCAACTGTGGGAATAACCTGTTTTTCTATAATTTTCAAGTTCATTTTTAACATTTCATCTCATTAAACAACAGAATCTAACTTTACTGGTTAATAAAGTAAAATTGGCAAGTACAGAGAGAATAAACAGGTTATATAAGCTAAAAACACTGGATATATTATAAAATCCAACAACAATAACACAAAAAGGTTTTAAAAATAAAGCAGATAAGAAAAGATGTTGGCACTTATGTTATATATTACATTTTGATTTACTGCTTTAATTTTATACTGATACATGCAGGGAGTTCTTTCCTGGGTCAACTGAGTTTCTTTTACATGATATGTCAGCTTTTATTGCAAAAGGTTTACCCCACTAATGCCTCATATGTAAAAGAATGACAGATTTGTAAGTGATAAAACAGGAATATGGCTAGCATCAGCCATTAACATCAGATGTGAACAGTTTAGCACAGCTCAAACATGCCCCAGACCTAGCCCTCACAGACACATGGCACATACCACAAAGCGCAGCAATCCAGCACATGCAGCCACATAACAAAATTAGCAATAAATGTACAGCATGCTCTGGTTACAATAACTGAAAATTTAATTAGAAACTAAGCTTAAGCACTAATACATTTGAACACTGGATCCAAGGACTAGAAATGTCTGCCATCTCGATTCCAAAGCAGTGTCACATTTCACAATTTGAGTACGTGGATGCTACCAAAATGCCCTACGTGTAGAACAAGAACTTTAAAGAAAGGTTCTCCCTTCTGATGGACTGAAGCCAATTTGGCCTTCAGCTAGCAAGATGAAGATTTATGGCACTGAATGAGTCCCTGGCTTTAAAAATTAACACTAAGCCTTCCTCTCGCTCTTGTTCTCTATCCATCAGTACCCTGGATCCCATTCTGCAGTACATATCAGAAGCACACTGCTCCTTACAAAAATATACCTGCCCAGAAAGCTGGAAATCCTCCAGGATGAAGATGGCAGTAGGAACAAGAGTTACTTAAGTGCCGATAGGAAAAGATTCAACTCTTTGAACTGAGTTTAACACCTCTCAGCATAGGAAAAGTTTGAGGGTAGTATCTGAGACTCAGATCTACACAGAGCTAATAGAGAACGGAGGGAAGAAGAATAATGGCTTCTGGCCTCATGAAAGTGAACTAGCTGCTGAACTTGTGAGTAGGCAGACACTGTGCCGTCACTTTAGCTTATTTGGAAACAAAACTATCCAAGTGTGGAGCAAATGAATGGTCTGTACTAATTTTATTCACTGACAGCTGCACGGTGTTGTACAGTGTTTACTCCCATGCAATTTACCTGGAATTTGCAAATATAATCTTACTGAGGAAGTGTCTTTGTAGATATAATCAAGTTAAAACAGGATCTCCTGGGTTACACGGGGCTCTAATCTAATCAGGGCTATCCTCTGAAGAACAAAGAAATCTGAGACCCAGAAGCACAGGGAGAATGCACTGTTGACAGAAGCAGGTTTTGGAGCAATGTATATACAAGCCTGGGGGTGCAAAGGATTGTTGGCAGCCCCTTGAAGCTAAGAGTGAGGCAGGGAATAGATTGCACTTCAGAAGACACAAACTATCCTGCCAACTCCTTGATTTGGCTCTCTAGCTTCTACAACTGTGACAGAATAGATTTCTGTTACATTTAGACATGGAATTTGTAATGGTTTATAGTAGAAGCTATGGGCAACTAATATACTACTTCAATTGGTAATGATTTGGCATGACATTAAGATTACACCCAAAGACATTCTCTAATTAATGTATGCACGTATATGTACACACATACATCAAATATAACAATTCTGGATTAATTAGGTACACATACTGAAAATAAATCTTAGTGTCTAGCATATATTATATTAAAAAATTCCAGATACATCATAGATCTAAATGTAAAAGGTAAAATAGAAGTTTTCAGGAGTAAATATAGAATATTTAAGTGAAGGCAAAGATTTCATACATTAAACTATATAAAACTTAAGAATTTCTATTAATCAAAAATATCGAGACCCAGTCCTAGCCCAGGTCCGGTGAGTGTGTGGGAGAGCTTCCTGCTACTCTGCGCTGATGGGATCTACTACTGGTCCCAGCCCAGGGGCAGCGTGGGTGAGACCCTCTTGCACCCCCTTGGGACGCCCCCCAACACTCCGCAACACCTCCCCCACCCTGCCCAACGTGTAGGAATTTCTGCCGTGACCCGGGAACCCCCAGACCCAGTCCTAGCCCAGACCCTGTGAGTGTGTGGGAGAGCTGCCTCTTCCCCCTACTCCACCTTGTCCCCTCCAGACTCAGCTCAGGCCTGGCATACAGGCCTGGGGTGTAACCCTGCAGCTGCAATCCCTGCAGAGAGTGTAGAGGATAGAACCACCCAGCGAGTCCAGGAGCAGAAAATCTTGCCAGAGGGGCACAACAGGTTCAACCTCAAGGGCAGCAGCAGGAAGGAGCTGAGCACAGCAGCCAGACCCAAGCCAGGCACAGCTGGATAAACCCAAACTCTGTAGACCTGCATCTGAACTTCAGTACGTGCTAAGGTTATAACTACAACAAAGATCTACAACAAAGGTCAGAAGACAGTGCTACACAAAATGACGAGAAGGAACAAAATGCAACCTCAGAACCCAAGACCACCCGTAACAAGTGCAGAGGACACTAACACAGAACAAAATGGGAATCAGACAGCTGAAAGCAATGAATCAATGGCTTCTGAAATAAGGAAACAGCTGCAGAAAGGTATAAAGGACCTCAGATTGGAAATAAAAAAAGAAATCCCTCAATTAGTAACATCTGCAGTAAAGAATCAAATGCAGAAACATATGGAGGAAACCCAATGCCCACCCAGAACAAGTGCAGAGGACACTAGCTCAGCTCAAATGCATGAATTAATAGTGTGGATAGTAAATAAGAAAAAGCAGAAAGTTATAGAAGAACTCAGAGCACAATTCTTTTCTGAAATGAAAAAAAGGATTCTCAGAACTCATAGCATCTGAAGTAAAGAAGCTACTACAGAAACATAGGGAGGAAACCCAATCTGAAAAAAACACTGCAGTAAAAAAATTTATAACTGCTTCTAAAGAAGAAATTGATAAAAAAAATAGAGGAGATTAGAAAAATGACGGATTCCTTGAATGAGCAATATAGGA